ATGGAAATTAACCCAGCACTATTTGACGAATGCACAGCGCAATACAAGCAAAGTCGTCAATTGTATGTATGCAGTATCTGAGAATTTATTCTATTCCTCAGAGAAGAATCGACTTTTAATTTTATATCATATAAATCTCAGAGAAAAGAAAAAGATGAGAGAACGAGAAGAAACATGGCACAGATTAGAGAAGACAGCAGCTCACAACGCTCAGGGAGCTCCATTACATTACACTATTGGGACTACCTCGAACTTGTCGACAACAAATGTTGTTGGTGAGTCATTTTCTTGTCGAACGCTTATTTATATCAATAAAATCTAAGAATCGAAGTCAATCTAGAAACCACGTCCTACAACAATTTTGATGCCGAGGAATTTACTGAAGAAAATCAATCAAGTGAAGAAGAGTCCGCAGATGAAGTGCCACCGCACGAAAACGAGGGACAAGAGAATGATGATCACGGTGAACTTGTATGTCTTATTGTTTTCTGTTTATTATTATATCATTATTTTCGAATTTTCTATTTACACGTTTTTTCTTTCTTCCACAGCAATACTTTGATGGACGGCCCGATGGCTTCAATTTGTTCCGTCGTAAATCTATTATACCAGTTGATGAATCTGTATTATCTGAATTATCCCGGCATCGCAGCTTGGATGAAGTACTTAATGGACCCCCGGATGGGAATACCTCGAATAATCCTTAGTCACACGTTCCTAAACGGAATTTTTTCAAGCCATCCTTTTGCACCAAACGTATTGTTAGAAAGGAGGATAATGGAAGTATTTAGCAAGTAGTCATAGTCAGGAACTCTGGATTAGTTTTGTGTATTTTACCTTACCCTTTTCGTTTACTTATTTGCGATGACAATGTTAGAACTAAAAAAAAATATATATATTCACATCCAAACGGCAATCGTTTCAGTTATCTATCGTCGTTTGATACCAATTAATATATTAGTTTCAATTCAACGTGTCACGCGAATTCAAAAACTTTTTTTTTTTTTCAAAAAAAAAAAAAAAAAGAAAAAAAAAAAGGAATATACGTATATAATCGGCAAAGAGAACGTCATTTAAAAACTTTAATTTGATGACTCCAATGTTCACACGCTGTTACATTTAATATACACTGTATTTCTAATTTTAATGTGGATACATTTCATATTTATTATTTACACATAGATTGGTTAGACGATCAATTTCGAATTTGCTCTAAAGCATCTTTAACCCCAAAATAATTAAACTTTCGATCCTTTTTTCTTGATGTGAACATGGTGCAAGTTATATTATCATTATCATCGTTATTGTTATTGCTATTGTAAAAAAAAAAAAGTTTTTTTTTTTTTTTGCTTTTTATAAGTACCGTATGCATTTTTTTTTTTTTTTTTTCATTATCATAGAATCTTTTTTTTACCCCTTTTTTTTTGACTAATAAAATCTCATTAAAACCTAATAAAGACGTGCATTCAACGTTTAATTTTTAAAAACATCATTTATTTTATACCGAGGTAATTATCGCATGTATTCAATTATATCAAACTTTGTGTAATGGTAAAGTCATAAGTACATGGTCTTAATGTAAGAATCACTATTGTTCTAGCTTTCCCGAGGAACTCCACTCGCCACTCTTTCCGCCGGTTTTATGAATCACTCTCAAATTATCAATTACCATATTTTTATCAACGGATTTACACATATCAAAGATGGTTAACGCTGATACGCTAACCGCGGTCAACGCCTCCATTTCAACACCAGTTTTACCCTCGCATTCAACTTTCGCCGTTATTTCAACAGAATAATCTCGTTCCTCCATCCTCAAATCAACCGATACGTGAGAAAGCAAAAGAGGATGACAAAGGGGAATAAGGTATCCTGTGTGTTTAGCAGCATTGATCCCAGCGATCTGGGAGACAGTTAACACATCACCCTTCTTCAGCGAATTTGCAAGAACAAGGTTAAATGCTTCGCGACCGATCCGAATCTTTCCGCATGCCGTTGCTGTACGGATGGTCGAGGGTTTTTTCGATACATTTACCATTGATGCACGCCCGCTCGAAGAGTCGACATGTGAGAGGGTAGGAGAATTGGTGGTATTTGTATCGGGTGGTCGCATAGTGTCAGAAGAACCAGATTTTTTGGAATAGGAAGCATGAGTATAACCGAAGGGCGATGAGATTAATTGGTTGAAGACAAGAGGTCTATGGTACATATGAGAGCCTGAGGAAATGGAATGGATTCTCTGAGAGTTGAACCAACGTTTCGATACTTCTAACAAATCTGCTCCATCGAGTCGATGCATAAAATAAGTAAACATTCAACATCTATAAATTGGTGGAAGATCAACGAGTTAATTTAAATAAATCTCAAAATATTGGATATGCTAGTGTAAACCTGCAACTTACTCGGCTCTTCACGTTAAACAAATTAAGACCAAAATTTAGATGCTTTACGATGCTTTACGTTTCCTTTATCCACCGATAAGAATCATCGGCCTGTTTTTAGTTTCTGCCAGCGTGAACATACCTGCGTGCTGTTTCTTTTTGTTTTTGACCGCTGCTCCGATTATGTCCAGTAATTGTTGATCGGGAATGTTTTCTCGTAGCAGGTCACGCAGATTGACCTCAGCGTTACCGAATAAACATACCTATTGCGTTCATGTGATTAATTACCAACATTAACTACCTATTTAAACGATATCCTAGATTCAAACCTTCAAATTTCCATCTGCTGTAATCCTGAGTCTATTGCAACTTCCGCAAAAATGATCGGACATCGATGTAATAAATCCAAATCGACCTACAAATTCTGGTATGTGATAGGCCTATTGTATTGATAAAAAGTTAAGTAAGAATATAAGTACAAAATACATCTAAGAAAAAGCAGCGAGACCAACCTTTGAGGTATCGTTGGAATCATCGAAAAGTTTCGTGACATTATGGTACTTATTACGAATATTGTCCAAAAGTTCCTTGTACGGAACAAACTTCTTTTCATTCCATTTGTTACCTGGTCACACAAGGTATAGTACCATGATACTAGAATTAATGCAGATCATCGAAAAAATTACCGACACCTAAAAACTAGCACAATTTCGAACAAATACCATCAAAAGGCATATACTCTATAAATCGCACATCAATCGCCATGGTACGCGTTAATTCCACAAAATCTACTACCTCTTGATCATTCACCCCTCTCATCACCACGCAATTGACTTTCACTGGTTTGATACCCAAAGAGATAGCTTGCTCAATAGATTCCATCACACGTTCGAAACCTGAAATGTTCTGGCGAATAAGTAAACGAGAATCAGTATGCCTAAGAATTATCTCGTCCAATGTACCTTTACGGCGCGTAATTAACTCAAATTTAAAGGGATCCAAAGTGTCCAGGCTAATATTCAATGAACTTAAGCCGTTCTCCGCAAGTCTTGGCAATTTTCGTTTTAGGGCAATACCATTGGATGTAATTGCTAACGTTTGAAGACCTTGTGACTTTAGTTTCCCCAATTCACCTATTTAACACAACTCATTGTTATAATTTTTAGGTTTCTAAAATAATCAAGTTACAACGACGGTTGATCTTACCAACTAAATTAATAATGTCACTCCTCACCGTAGGTTCCCCACCGGTCAATCTAATCTTATTAACTCCCTGAGATACAAATAGCCTTGCGATTCGTATAATTTCTTCAAAAGACAGGAGTTTGTGTGAAGGGGTCAGATCAACTCCTTCAGCTGGCATGCAATAAGTACCTGAGTATATTTGAAAATGGATAGATAATGTTAATGGATAACTCGGGTGAGATGTTACTTCATGATAAAATATCTTACATCTTAAATTGCACTTTTCGGTCAATGATATCCTGAGATAAGTGTGATGCCTATCGAATCGGTCCGTTAGAAATTTACTGAAAGGACGTTGTCTTTCTATTGCCGCAAGTTTTTCCTTTATCCTATCTCTAGAATGCTGAATGTCTGAAGATATTTGACGAATTTGAGGTTGGATTTTCTGAATACCGTTCGTAGTTAAATCTCCGATGTTTCGAAAATTAACCCGGGCTCTAAGGTTAAAGAGCATTGCTGGTTTATCTTAAGAGGATCAAACACCAAACTACAGTACATTTTATGTACGTAGAAATCATGATAATTGTGAATCAATTTGTATTACAATAAATTATTCCTATATAAGGAAAATCTCTTATCTTATCTGATTCTCAAGTTTTTACCGGAAATAACCGGTCAGGGTGCACAGTTTCGAAATTTCGACCAGATTATATCTATACGGTCTAAAGTGTAAAAAGATATTCATTTACCGTTTTGATAGATGACTTTTTGTGAAAATTATTATTATTATTTTTCATTCACTGCATATTGTGCACAATCAAAATCAGATCTTTATTATTTATTATTTTTTTTTTATGGTTAAATTACATAAGCGCCAATATCTAAAAATATAATATATAAAAAAACTAATCGAATAAATTATTTACAAAAAATTTTTTAAACTTGAAAAATAATAATCAAATAATAATCAAATAACTATTTTCATGAATTGATTTTTATTTGTATAATAAACATTTCATGGTTTCAAAATTGATTTTATTAACATTTTCATTATTAAATTTTTTATTCATTATTAAATTTTTTATATTTTCAAATATATATCATATAATACAGTATATTATATGTTGCAAAAAAAAAAATTCCAATTTTATTTTTATTTATAATTTTATTGGTTTGCTATTATTTGTTTATTTGTTTTAATAAATATTTGAAATAAAATAAAAATATTTAAATCTAATTTATAATTTTTTTCAAATATTAAAAATCATTTTTTGTTTTTACTATTATTATTATTTATTTTTTTAAATAAGTAAATATTATTTCTTTATTTGATTTATATAATAAAAGATATATATTGTAAAGAAAAAATATCACTTATATACAGTATATTATTATTGCCTTAAAAAAGCAAAATAAAATTATATCAATTTAGACTTATAATAAACAAAAAATGTTTTTATAATATAAAAAAAAATAAAAACAGAATAAAGAAAATTAAATAAATTATTAAAAAAATTATTAAAAGATAAAAATTTATAATTTTAATATATTGAAATCTTTAGTTTCTTATTTGATAAAACTTCAAAATAATTAATATAAATAATTTTCAATTTTCAATAATTTAATTTATTTAATATATTATATTTTAAATAATATCAAATAAATTAATATAAAAATTAAAAATTATTATTTCAAATTAATTTTATAACTCTATTTTAATATTGAAATAAAAAAATAACAATATATAAAAAGATAAAAGAAAAATACAGTATAATAAAATAATAATTTTATTAAAAATTTTATAAAAATATTATAAAACAATATAAAAATTCAAAATATTTATATTATAGTTCTAATTGTTTTTTTTTTAAAAACTAAAGAAAATTGCAAATCTTTTTATAATATTTTAATTAATTTTAACTTATTTTCTATAATAAAAATAATAATAATTTTTTTTTAATTAAATTACTAGTAATATATTTATTAATCCATTTATAAAAAACAATAATATAATATATAATTGTAGGAGTTGCACCCTGCTTGGCATTTATGCTCCTAGATTTGATAGCTTAAGCTAACTGAGAGTCTATAAAGTATTTACTGAGAGATTTAGGAGTCATGTCCCACTTGGTCAGCAACCGAGCCCCCAGATTTGATAGTATATACCAACCATAGGAACAACTTTTCAAAATATTTACTAGGAAATACATATATATAAATCCCATCTGCAGTTGCATAAGCCGAAGATGTGATTCAAGCAAGACGATATACAGAAAATTAGTATGTGTCGATTAAAAAATATCCTTGAAACCTAAGTATGGATCCACTCCCAAGATATAAGTTGGTATTTGGATAAAAATGGGCAGGTAGCATCAGTTAAACTAAACTGTTCATGTGTTGATCATGTAATCTATAAATGATTAATAAAAGTCTTGTGTATATCACACTTAGCTCAAAAAAAAAAATAATAATAATATAATATACAATATAATACTATATTAAAAATAAACTATTTTTTATAACAAAATACCTATCAATAAATTATTTATAGATTATATATAATCTTTAAATTCTTTTTTTTTTTTTTTTTTAAGTAAGTAAACACCAGTTCTTTATTTTATTTCGTATGTATCAAGGTATATCTTTTAGAAAGAACATCAGGAAATTTTTTGGTGGAGATCTCCGGAGATCTCCACCCATAAAAAAATTTTCGAAAATTTCCGGAAAAAAC